TGGTCATAGACTGTGATGAAAACCAATGATTTATGTGACATGATCTAACACCACATGTCCTTTTATAGATGGTGCTGTTCTTACTGTGTCAGTTTTATAATGCTGTGGGGACGGAGGAGGAATCAGACCGTGGGGAAATCAGAAAATCGGGATAATGTCAATCACACGTGTTTGGTATTGTGTTATAAATAGAATGAAATGACAGTTTCTGTAAAGAATTTATAAATAAATAGAATTCATTTACATTTGTCTGCAGGTAATAAGAATTTATTAAGCAGAATGAAAAACGCATTCTTATTCTAACAGCCTGGGAAGAGGCAGAAATGTAAAAAGGGATAAGACGACAAAATCCTTAACAAGCCCAGTCACACAGGGCATTTCTTCTGAGATGAATCAACGCCTGTTGAACCTGCAACATCCGTATAAACTGAACTTATAATCAGCGAGCAGATTTATTATATGCCACAAATTGGGGTGTGATTTATGTAATCAGCAAACTGTCACAATCCTGCAGAGAGAGCGGAGTTAAAATCACAAGCAGGAGGACCGAAGCTGGCAGCTGGTTAGAAGGCGTGTTAGAAAATAATGTAATGGTTAAATATTTAAACGCTGTGTTTCAGGTGAATGGTGTGAAGCAAGGTTTATCACTTTGAGGGTAAAGCTTTGCTTTTAGAATTGCTGCAAACACACCTGGAAACCTTTGCACCTGCTCATCTTACTTTTATTATGATATAATAATGTATATGTTCAACTTAGAAACGCTTTTTGATGGAGGATTTGGGCTCAGTACATATATATTCATATCCACAGCAAAGAGGAATTTGAGATCCATGGAAAAGAGGAGAGGCCTATTAGAGATTGTGCTGCAAATATAAAGCACTACATGTTGTACTCTGCATACATGGATCATACAGGTCATATATTAAATTGATGTTCAAGGGTAATGTAGCCCACATATCCTCTTATATACAGCATATATATCTTCTTTTTACTTTACAGTTTCATTTATCTTAAGGTTTATTTTATTCAAATGGTATAGGTAAATATAGTGAAATAGCATCAGTGTAAATTGTGATCTCCTGCTGGTTGCACCTCTCATGCTTCAGGGCAAACATATACACACGAATGTATAAAAACAGATTCATATGATGCATAAGATGATAAAATGTTTTAAAATAGTTTTCTTTCGCATTGGCACGTCGTTCATGTTCCTGTGATATATAAACATGTATAGGGTTAAAATGAGTGGGCGCGCGCCGCATGTCTATATTAAGGTCTCACCTGGTGCCTGGATGACCTGTGCGAGCCAAATGACGGCGAGCAGCCCAACTCCACAGCAGCAGAACCGCTGGAAGGGCCGCCGGTGCCTCGCAGCAGCTTTCATTCCTCAGCCGGCCGCATATCCACCAAGAAACATCTGTTGCTCTCCTGCTTTCTCACACTTGTTCCACACTTTGTGTCCGCGAACAAACCTCCTCCCGGCAGGGCAGCGGGGGCGACAACAGCAGCGAGCGACTTCTCTGCCAAGTTGTGTCCTAGAAGACAGAAGAAAAAACAACAGAAATCCCCGCTGGTGTCAGGGACCTGACTGGTTCTCCTGTCCGGGCTCAGAGCAGAGGCCGAACCGCTTCAGTGCGCCGAGCCTGCGCCTGGATCATAGCGAGGAGGCGCGTAAAATGAGCTTTGTGCGTTCATGTGCTCAGTCTGAAAGGTCGACAGCAGTGAAGTGCAGCCACAGGAGGCGACATGCTCTGAGCTCCGTGCGCCTTCACTCCCCCTACCTCTCCCTGCTCCCACCGACACTTCCTCCGTGTGGCCACCAGGCGGCGACAAACACAGAAAACCTCGGTCAGAGGACATGCACAGAGGTTTGTGTTTGAGGTTTTGTTTTCACCCTTGTCCCTGTATTGGTTGGTTTGTAAGAAAGATTATTGAAAAACAGCTGAATGGATTCCCATGAAACTTGATGGAAGGATGTGGTGTGTATTAAAATGGGCAGTGGGGGATCTAGAAGTTTTCTAAGTCAGGGGCCATAAAGGGGCCCAATGAGTCCTGATTCATTAAGGTGTGCATTCAAGTCGTTCCTTGTTTTTTGTTAGCTCTATAGATGTGTGCAAAGCCACACATCAATGAATATATTTGGAAAATTGTTCCTTGTCCATTATAATTAAAAGTGTCAGTCGTTGCTCATTTACTTCCAGAAACGGTTTCTTTGACAAATAGAATCAGTCGTGAACTAATGAGCTGCCACCAGCCCAGTGCCTGCAAATAATCATTCTGACCAGATCACACAACAGTTAGAATGTAGGCTGCATTGGGCTGAAAGGAGACACAGGGCAGAAGCTTCTATAAGATGTGCTTCTGATTGAAATATTCAGAAAAATATAAAATTGATAGTACTGATAGTCAGCGATCACAAGTACAACATGCAAACACTCAGCAGGGAGGCTGTTTCTAATGTTATTCATCATTGTGAGTCATCAGGTCACTGTCATTTGGAGGCAACCTGTTCTCATGTGGACACTGAAATCAGGCCCACTTTCACGAGCAGATGGTTTTTAAACATCTGTGAATTCCTCTTCTTCACTGCAGCTGAGCTCGTCTGATTCTGAGTGACACCTGCACAATACACCTGTGGGTGATCTACTGTGTGTGACACACCATAAATACAGCTGTTGTGTTCACAGCTGGCAGTCTGACTGTCAACCCTGTGATTAGTGGATGACCTGCTCTGCCTCCAGCACCACACTCACCCTTCTCTTAAAGACCCTCCATGTATGAACAAAAATCACTCACCACAATATCTTGTGTGTATTGTTACTGTAAAAAAACATTTTGCCTCCAAATGAAGCATCTGCACATTATTATATTTTAAAACATGCATTTTTTTCTAACCGTGTTTACTTTTTAAAGTTTTTACTCAAATGCACTATTCGTGGATTTTTAAAAAAACTCGACAGCGTACCCTAAAGGTGCCGTGATAAAAGCTCTTGTGACTTAAAATACCTGTTAAGGATTTAAAGTCCAAACTCAAGTTCATCTTCGCATTCAAACTGTGAAAAATAGTTTCTTCAGGAGCAGGCGATTAAAATGACAACAGCAAAATAAACATAAAAGCATCAAGATAAAAACATTAAACCTCTAAAATATATAAAGGCCCATGAAGGTGTGAGTGCAATAAATGTCTTAGTTCCAATACACATTATACACACATATGTACATAGTTACAATGGTTAATAATTGACATATTTTCAAGGTTACTAAGACGTGTGTTGAGATGTGTGGGCGGGTGTTAAAGTGTTCAGCAGTCTGTGAAAGACACCCACATGCACTCTGGTGTTTATTGACCATGGTACATTCATCAGCATCGCAGGAACCAAGGAGTCAGTCAGAGGAGGAGAAAAAGTGCTTTTTGATTACAGAGACCTAATTTCCCAAAGAGAGAGACTCCACTGATTCTCTCCATGGTCCCCACTATAGAGCTTATTTTAGCTCCACCAATGAGGTTGCTTTGTATGATTGTTTGCAAGCAAGATTACACACAAAAAAAAACTGGAAAGTGAAATAATGGTCTGGGTCCGGTTTAGAGGAAGTTCCAGCATTTTTTTTTCTTTAATATGGTGAGATAGGGCATTCTGAACATTTTCATTGATTTTTCAGATGAAAACATTTGTGAAGAAAAAATCAGGCATGTTGAGGGAATTTATATCTATGAATGTGTGAATGTGCCATTTAGTTAAATCTCAAGTCTTTAACCATTTCCCCATACACACTGTATAATAAAGTATGATGGTTAGTTCAATCATTTGCTGCAATCAGCAATGCTGTTTTTGTACCTACCTATACTGTTGATGATGATGTGATGATTCAAGTAGTCCATAAAACTTGCTTCTTATTGTATTCTGTTGTGCAGGTGTTGCTTTTCTCGTGTTCAATCTCAGCAGGATGAGATTTTGAAGCTTCTCTTCACCTTTGAGCTCCCACTTGCAGGAAACATCCATCCTGAGAACAAACTAAACATGAAATTATTATTATTAGTATTAACACAAATAAGTGAGTCAGTGGTAAAATGGCTTGATTCCAGTACAAACAACTTAGATCAATGACATACATATCTTTAGATTAATCCTTGTATTAACAAAAGTGCTTCATTCTTTATGGCTTTAAAGAATGAAGTAAAACATGTTACATGCTTTGCAATTGATTCTAAAAAAAAAAAACGTCTTTCTCTCTCTGCTATGAGTTATTCTGTCTTATTTTCTCATTAAAGACAAAATTAAAAAATATTAAAATGGGGACCTGCTCTGCTGCCTGTGTTGGGAAACACAGACTACATGTCACACAGACACCTTCCAGAAACAGGGTTAAGATTAAGAAACAGCTCTGTGATGCTGTCTGCTAATAATCTACCTGCCAGTTTCCCAGAAAGAGCAAAAGTACACAAACCCCCTTTTGCGTATAAAAAAGAATGTACGGTGCTGTTGGAGTGGCCTGGATAATGTCTGCTATTAAAAATGACCAAAAAAAGGATAAGACATATTTTAAATGAAACAATAAAGGTCAAAGCAGCCTCATACACAGCTACAGCGCCCTGGAGTCTTTAATATTTTAAAGTCTTTGACTGCAGGGTTTATGACACGAGGACAGGACTGTGATTCATTTATCATCCACTGTCATTGTTATATGAAGTGCATGCATCACTTATTAACAGCCTGGAATCTAAAGGAAACACAAACATGTCACACATGGTTGTTTCATGGCAGGAGAAGAACAACGCAATGCAGGACTCAAAGACGTCTTGTCTTTTAAATTATTCAAGATCAGAATTGGACTTCTTTACAATTGCTTATTAAAAGTTATGACAGTATTGATTTTGTTAAAAATGCATCGAAACCAAACTTTCAGTTTCCCAAAAATGGAAAACCTCAATTCAATTCCATGCTGTGCCCATGTAAAATCAGCTGGTGGGATATTTCTAAACATCAGGAGACCTTCGGATAAATAATTTATCTGCTGTTTGTATCTGCTGATGCGTAACATCGACCAATGGAATCTAACTCATAAATGCTGTGAAGTCTCATTTATAACAGGAACTCAGCAGAGATTTTGCAGACAAACTCACAATATAGGCCTCATCCACATGTTGTGTACATGGAGCAACAGTGGCCATTTAAAATACAACTACCCTGAGTCTAAACACACACACACACACACACACACACAAGGCCTCTGTATTTACAGAAAACGGAAGAGTCCAACTGGCGTTAAGCCCCTTGAGCTGTGTGTGACACATAGCCCCTAGTGAAGACGTCCTGTGCTCCAACCCCAAATAAAGACATAGGCCGGCGCATCAGCTCTCCTCCTGGTGTCAGGGCAGGGAAGATAAAGTGTTTTTCTGCAGCTAGTGTTTAGGAAAGCCTTCCAGCGGACAGAGCCCTGGGAAATGTTTGTATGATGTTGTCGTGCTGTATTATGATCATGGACCGAGCTTCGGAAAGTGTATTTGTCTTACCTCATCTTGCATCAATTCAGGGAGACAGGAATGTGCACACAATCAGGATTTGAAGCGGCTTTAAATCTGTTATCTTCCTCTAAATCTCTACATGTGTATATGAGATGATGCAGGCTGCTGCTTTTCTTTTTTTGTCAAAGATGCTGCATTTTGTTCAATGTATCTGTGGAGCTGTTGATGTTTGTGGAAGAGACATGAGAAACAGCTGATTGTGATAATAAAGCTGTGGTGCAGATAAGATTAAAGGCTGATTTTGAACTCATAATTTTGGTCCAGAATGAAATATATATGATTATTTGATATAATATCTCAGACTACTGGATGGTTATGAAATGCTAAAGAGATTCAAGGTTCTCAGATGTCTTTGATGATGTCCTAACTTTTCCTTTTGCATTTTCAATTCCTGCTTAGGATTTCAATTCTCCAAATAAAATAACTCTGCTATGATATATGATGAAATTAAAAAAACTGAATGCAAAGTAAACAGAGAAGTGGAGCTGGAGTGGTGATCACATGTCACCTCTGTATAAGTCGAGTGTCAGGTGAGTTAATGGAGTTGTGTTTCCTGCAAAACCAATGTAACCAATTCAAACTTTCGAGATCTTGTTTGTGGACTTGTGGAAGGTTTTTTTTTTTTAACTTTCCCTCTGAATTTTTTATTTTTTTTACAAACTGAATAAGGAAAAAAAATTCACTTGTATTTTGTGTTCTGCTTTTGTCCTTTTTAGGTCATTCAGCCAGATTCAGCTGTTTCTTTCTTGATACTTTTGAACTTTCAAATACCATAAAATAATACTTCTGCATACGCCATTCAACACATTCATCTCAAATTCAACTTGATTTCAACCATCATCAGTCATTTTTAAAGCACCTTTTTCCTTTTAATTCACTTTTAAAAATTATATATTTGTCGGCTCTTTTAACAATCTGTGGTACTCATGGAGCTGTAAACCTTCAATGATGCTCACAACACACATCTATTACCATTATCATTATTATTATTATCATCATCTGTTCTATCAGATCACGTGTCACCCATTGACTTTTCCTTGCGTGGCGGATGAAAGACCAGATGTTGAGATGGTCTGAGAAAATCCTTCATCCGCCACAAAAACAAATAAACACCTCAGCAAGTGCAACCAAAGACAAAGAGAGGAGATCTCTATGATGGACTAACATACATTACATTTTCAGGTAGGCACAAAGTCAGAGAAATATAACACGACCAGTTCTGACCATCCATTCTGAAATAAGAGTTTCACTCATTAAGGCGTACCTCAGGGTGATTTAAGACCTTATTATATATGTACGAGCTGTAGCTGAAATAGCTCAATACTAGAACGACAAGTACAACCACAGTCATAGTTGCAGATGGTATTTTGTCGTGTCTTATCACGGTAGTTGGCTTTCTACAAAATAAAACTAAAATTTATCACCAAGCCTGCCGTCCTTTCTGTCCCTTTTCACATTATTTTTTCCCTCCAGTTTCAACAGCTACAAGAAAATCCACATTTGCATGATTAATAAGTTACATTTTTTTTATACATACACACGTACAGAGGGGGAGCTTGGAAGTTGCTTGGCACATTCTCATGCTTGACCAACCTCCTACAATCTAAATAACTATACAAGACACAGTAAAACAGGTCTTCTCACACTTCTCAAAGTCTCCCTGTCCAGATACGAGGCTTCAGCATGTACAGGAGATGAGACAGATGAGACAACACTCGACTGCATGATCATCCTGCACAGGGAGGACATACACAACCTGATGCACTAAATAACATGGAACAGTTCGGCTGTACATACAGTATCTTCACATACTGATAAAGTTTTAGATTCATAATTTAATCTGTATATACTGTATTTTAATATGCTGGTACCAAGTATTCACAGTGACTCTAAAATAAAATTACAAGAGGAAGTTTGTACAAGAAATAAGAGAGTCCGAGTGACTGGCGAAAGTTTGGCATCCTTTTTTCCGTAGGAGTTCAAGTTCTTAGTCGGGGAGGTTTAGTTTGCAGGTGAGTCAGTTCTGTTTTGGAGTGTTTCAGGAAAGCTGCCTGGGCTTTTTCGTTGGCACTGAGGAGAAGCAGTCCGACTCCTCTGAACACACATCATAGAACGGCGCCGTCAGCCGTGAACACAGAGAAAAAGTGAGGTAAGGTGGCATGGGGGGGGGGGATCTTATCCACCTTTTTTTATGTTGAACAAGACATAACCCGGGCAGGCAAAATAAAATACAGTGTGGTCCCTGTCCAGTGCTGATTTCACAATTTAAAAAAAAAAATTAAAAGTGCAAGAATGACACAGAAATACACACAAACACACATCAGGTTGTAAGAGTTCACCTACTGTCCTCACCGCTATACCACTCGTAAGCCATACTTCACAATTACCCCCAAAATAGTCACTGTAGACGTCGGCCAAACACTAAAAACATATTTCAATACAATATTCTGTATTCCACTATTAGTCCAAGGTGTTTTTGTCCAGACATGTAAAGCTATTTTTGCGAGTCGAAAATAAAAGCTGCCGTTTGGCATGTTGTGGTTCAGGCCAGCAGGAGATCTTCTACAGTATGGCTGCTACAATAGTGAGGTTAGAGGACAGCTACAGGCATTCGCGGAGGGAATCTGAAGCAGCTTGTTCCTGCCTGTGTCTTCGGGAGAGGTATAAACCTTTTTCGGTATTCCTTCAACACTCCTTTCATACACACTTCCACTTGGGAGAAAAACATGCTCAGTTCATTGTTTTCCAGTTTACATCCCTTTCATTTATGTTGTTTTTTTTTTTTTTAAATGTGTTTTGCCTTAAAAACTCTTTAATACAGTACTACTGAGAAGTGGAGACGGCAGGAGTGGTGGCGATCTTACATAACCGACCCAAAATCGGTTGGCATCATTACGTCTTTTGGAGTAAAAGGCTGCCTACAGCTTCGCCACTGTCATGATACCTTTTTTTTTTTACTCTTTTTGTGTTTCATTACGAGGCCTTCCACACAGGCAGCGCCAGGCAGAACTACACCGCAACTACACGTCTGGCAGAGAAAGGAGAGCAATACTACTGTTCACATACATTATTGGTGATTGATATATATGTATATATATATATATATATATACATTTATGTACATATATATATACACATACATATACACATATATATATACATACATACATATATATATATATATATATGTGTACACTTTTGGTCATTTCAGATAAGACACCACTAAACATGCTATACAGTGTCTCTCAGTCAGTCTTAATTGCCACTTTTTATGCAAGTGCTATTCAGCCCAGCCTGTCAAGTATTCGAAGCAAAGTACAGTAAGAGATGCACACATAAAGACGCACACACACATTCATACATACACACACAGCACTCCAGCATTGCACGCCAACACAGCAGCCTGAGAGCTGCTCATTGGTCAGTCTATGAAGGTCATGGGATCTTAAAAATGTCTTTTTTTTCTTTTGTATGTTGATTTGCATACTCCCTCACCAACAGGCAGGATTCAGGACAGAGACTGTGCCAATACACAGACTGAAGAGGATCGGTGTGTGTTTGCCTTTGCAGATATGCATGAACAAATCAAGTGCACTGAGCGTACAGGGACATTGTTCGATTCGCATCTGTCTGCTGATCAGCTCATGCGTTTGTGCGCGGGGCGGCCAAGCTAGCAGGGCTTGTTGACGTTGCACAGCAGCTCGGTGACTTTGATGAGGCGGGCCACCGTGCTCTGCGACTCCTCCTGCAGCCGCTGATTGTTCTGCCTGAGGCTCTGCACCTCGGCCTGCAGCACCGCCTTGTCCTCCTTCTCCTGAAAGACATCGGCACACAACAAAACAAAAGCCGTCGCTCAGATCGCTGTGGCAGGAACGGGAGGGGAGCGACAGGTACAGCGGGTGGCGTTAAGGCAACTAGTGGGCACACATAAACACAGAGCTTGAAATAAAACAACACAAACAAGTGTCGAGAGGCACATCACACTGCAGTGAGGAAGAATACACTCACAATCTAAAAGAGCACAGAAACAGCAAATAAATCACGGAAAAGATCATTTATGTTATGACTTTTCACTGTTTACAGCATTGAATAAAATCAGTGTTGGGATGAAAGAATTCTGAGATTCTGAGAAGGAAGTTGTAATTTTACAAGAAAAAAGATGTAATTCCCGGCTACGTGTCATTTTACAGGGGGGGGTATCAGAAGATCAGTTGGTTGCCTGTGATAAAATGAGGAATATGGAGCATCTTGTTAAGTTATACTTTAGTATAAGTCTCACAAATAACATAATACTTAATATTTTGGTATATCAGTACAGGTTTAGGTATTTTAGGCATCATTTGCATCAGGACTTTGAAAATATTGTGTAAAAAGAAACACACAAACTTGGAGCAAATGGAATTGAGTAGTGGTCGAGTTTATCTGCATGATATTTGAAGAGAGGTAACAATGAGATTGGTTCATGATTCTGGATCCAGGAGCAAAACTGTGGCACGAGTTCTACTTGCTGCTTGTTTGCTAAAGAAAGTTTTTTTTCTTTATTCTGGTAAAGTAATGACTTTATTCTCAAAATCCCAGAAAATGTTTTCATCAACATGGCCCGGATACTGTCGTATAAATTAGTAACTCATCACTTACAATTGTTACAGGGGTGCAACTAAGAATAGAAAATTTAATTTCCAAGCAAAGGAGATGTCTTCAAATCTGTTCAATTAACTGATGATATTCAGTTTAAATTTATATTTAACAGAGAAAAGCAGCAAACCAGCACATTTAACAGGATAAAATAAATAAACAAATGATCATTTATCAGAATCATTTTGTGTCACTAAGCTCATGAATCAGTCTTTATAGACGAAATGACTCATTTGACAAAGATACATTAGATTAAAAAAAAAATGAAAATAGGTTTCAATTCTAATCAAGGACTTAAAGGTACAGTGTGTAGAATTTTGTGATATCTAGTGTTGAAGTTGCATGTTGCAGCTAATACCCCTCACCTCCCCCTCCCCTTCCAAACATGAAAAAGAACCTGTGGTAGCTTCAGTTAAAAAAAAAACTCAAAAGGTGTTTAGTTTGTCCAGTCTGGACAAATGTAAAAAACATGGCGGCCTCCGCAGAGAGGGTCCCCTCGAAGTAAATATAAAGTATTTCAATATAAAGGACCTTTTCTGGGGTAAAGAAAACTACAATTCATACAATTTAGATGAAACGAACTAGTGAAAACATCATGAGGATTATTCTACATTAAATTGCTGCCAATAGTTCCCTTTCACCTAAATCTTACACACTGGACCTTTAAAAATAGAAACAAATCCATGTGATTAAGATGAATAATATTTGTACATACAGAGACATATGCAGTATTGAAAAAGATTCACAACACAATGTCCATTTGTCTGTGATTGACTGAGCAGCTTCATCCACTGAAGAAGACCATGAGCGTGTGTGTGTTTGTTTGTGTGTCTCTCTGAAGTATATCAGCTGTGATTAGAAACTGTTGTATGAATGAGATGATTTGTACAAGTAAAAAAAAAAAAAAAGTCTGATCAGAAATTACAATTCCTCTCACTCCTGTAACAGGAGCTTCCTACCTGCTGACTTTTCCTGTGCAGCTCGCTGAAAATATAGTTAGAGAGAAAAGCAGTCATGAAAGTCAAAGCACCTTTTGCAGGTCATCCTGCAGCTTCTTCAGCATGGCCTCCAGCTGGGACACCTTCTCCTCTAGGTGGCCTGGAGAGTCACTGCAACAAAGAGACGCAGTGACACTTCGTCAAAAGCAATCACAGCATTCTGAGGTTTGTAATTGGAAAATGTATAAATAGAAACCAAAGTGTCGACATGGTTTTGTTTGACAGATGGATGTCTTGGTACCTGCTGCATTTTATAGACAGTTTTTTTTTTTTTTTTTTTTTTGTTATATAACTAATTGAATCTAACTTTTATCTAATACAGAGAGAACCTTTTGATTTGCCTGAGTGGCTGCAGAGTCGCTCCAATGCCCTCATCGTCCCCAATGCCTTTTATGTAGCCTGTAATACTCTGCGATCCATTCACAGTTACTGCTACGGCCACCTATCAGACCTATTTTGAGTATAGTCCTCCCATGATGCATTTCGGCTGATTGCAGTTACACGTCATGATTAGACCCTTAAGAGCAAAGCACCAGCCCTCTCCTGGTGATGTGAGAATCATGACAATAATGCTTTTAAAGGAAAGAACAAAGCGTTTCAATGATGCGCTTTCTCTTTTTCATTTGTGCTACAGCACTTAAAGTGATTTGAGGACAGAATTTTCCTGATAGATGTGGCCAGTTTGCCTATGTTTGCATTTATTTAGCATTTTTGTATTTTAATTAAATTGTATTTACTGAAAAATGGAAAATAAGAACATTTATATTTAAATTTTGAGCAAAATGTGATTTGCAAGGTCAGGAAATGGTGCAGTGTATGGAGTGTACTGTTCTGTTCTTTTTTAGCATCTTAACATGCCAGCTGAAGCCACATAATAGCAAATAGCAATTCAATTGTACCCCTAACCACAATTTAGCCTTGGATGCTTGTACCGAAAGGATGGGACACGGGACGAGAAAGAAGCCCTGCAATTTTTGTACATTTTGGTGGAGCCAGACAAAGGAGCAGTTCCAGGAATTTGTTGTCATGAAATCAGGGAAGTGATATCTGTGGGTGTGTCAAGTGTGAGGCAGCTTGATTGAGTTTAAGGGGACTGTTGGGCCCCTTGGTAGAGGTGTGTGCTCTTCTGAGTGCTGTTCTAGTTTGCTTTGCTCTAGGATAACACTACTGTGGTATAACTACTACGTGTTCAGAAACAGCATGAAAGAGAAAAAGAAGGAGCTGGGGAACGTATAAAAGAAGAATAGACAGGATTAGGGCGGGAGTTATACAGAAAGATGACTCAGACATGTAAGTGCATTGATGTGCGTGAGTGTGTGTCTGCATCAGAGCTCTCTTTGTGAGGGGGAGAATTGACTCAAACAGTTGGATAAAAGCCAACAAAGTCTGAATAAGAAAAAGAATAAAGGAGAAGAGGACAAATCGAGCTGAGAAGCATGTGCAGTGAATCAGAGAAAGAAAACAGAAAGACTAACGACAGAGACATTGAACTGTCTCACCCTGAAAATACTGTGGAGCAACCCACCTCTCCTTTGAGTCTCTCAGCTTGCCATCAGTCTGGTCAGCTCCTGCTTGTGATGGGTCTCCAGCTTTGCGGTCTGTGATTTTAACAAGAATGTTATGGACATTGTTGCCATGTTTAACAGCAGAGCATAAAATAGTCAAAATTAAAGGGGAGGGTAAAAAGAAGGGGGATATACAAATCATTGTTTCTGCATGCAGAGTCCAGATCAATTACATTAAATGACAAAAATCATATTTGACACTTTCTTAAAATCTCCCTTCATAACCAATATGATGCCGTCTTCTGGGAGCACTTGATTTTAGGATATTTTTAGAATCGGGCTGCAGCCATGAGAGCTTTAGTGAGGTCAGTCACTGTCATTGAGTGATAATTCTCAATTCCCACCAATATCAGGGGGATGCACAAACATCAGTACTTTTAAAATAACACTGAAAATACAGCTCCGGACAAATAAGACATGGGATCATTGACCTTTAGAACAGTTTTATAACATGGAGACTGCCATGTTTATTTCATATGTGATGTACAGTTTCTGTATTGTTCTGTGTTGTGCATGACCCCTGTCAACTAAAAAACTCAGCTCAACTTAACGAAGGCCTGACTCAAACTTGTCTTTCCAAATTATCCCAAACTGGGAAACCATTATTTTCATGTTCATGTTGAATCAGATAAGAGGTTTCTCTTGTTTTGACCACATAGAAAGCGTGTTGTATTATTTTACATCTATATATAAACAGTATGGGAATCGTTCCTCACCCTCTCGTGACAAAGCCTCCAGGATGCTGCGGCAGGCTGTGGCTAGGTTAGCGATGGACTGCCACTCCTCTTCCGTTGAATCTGTTGTCTCTGAGAGAACTGAGAAACAGAGGCCGTGGTTAATCGATCATAACTCAGTGTAGTGAAGGAGTCAGATGTAGCTGCGTTCATTCTGGAGAACAGTGAGATTTCTTCAGTAACAAAGAGTCACCACTGGAGGGTGCTGCTGTGTTAAATGAGAATGCAGGGACAAGGAGGAAATGTCATGATGTATATATAATGCACCTGCAGGTTTCTATGGTAACTGTTTACTGAGGTGGTAAGATGTTTCTGACATAAGTTAACATAAAGCAAGTTTAAAATAATAGAGATAAAAGTCGCAATAAAAGAAAATCGGCTTAGTATCAGCATGTTTTGGTAAATTATTGGATGCAAACTTAATAAAAACATAAAAGAAAAGACATTCAAGATGCTAAAAAATCTGTTAAGTCCTTGAATCTTATTAGTCAGTTTAAAAAAAATCCTGCAGGCCACCTGTGAAAGGACATAAAGTAAACAATCAGAGGCCTCAGCGTCCACCCCCACAAAGATCCAAAAGGATGTGATGAGAGGATGAGTGTGTGATGATGAGTGTGCTCTTATGGCTGTTAAATGATGAGTTTCATAGTCTCTGCAGAGGCAGAGCAGATGGCGGAAGAGGGGTTCCTTGATATGGGGCTGCCTAAAAACTCCACCCCCCCACTACCCATCTGTCCCCCTTTTATCCCAGCCCTGGCAGGGGGTGGCAGCGGAGCAGGGGTGATATTAGATTAGCGGAATAGGGGGCAGAGGGGATGAAAGATGAGGGACAAAGGGGGGATGCAGTGGGGACAGGGGGGAGGACAATGAGGAGAGGGATTTAAGCCAGGAGGAAATTGGGGAAAAAGGAATCGGAGGCTGAAATGTGCTGGATTGTTCCATTTTGGCATCATTCAAGCAGTTGTGTTTGAGGACGGAGCATTGTCCTGAATCCAGGATCGGATTCATAGTTTATTTTTCATCTCATGCTGCTAATATTCCTTTTGTTAAAGAATACAACACATTATTTATGTAGAGGTATTACTTATACCGACAAATGAATATATATGTCTGTATCCATCCATCCAGCCATTATCTGTACAGTTATCCTCAGGGCCGTGACATTGGGCGTACACCTCAGGTCGTCAGAGAACCACAAGGCCATCGTCAATTTAGAGTCTCCAATCAACACTAAACCCAATCTGCATGTTTTTGGACTGTAGCAGGAAGCTTGAGAACCTGAAGAAACCCCACACAGGCACAGGGAGAACATGCAAACCCCACACGCACCACTGCACCGCCCATATAAACATATATGTATGTACTGTATGTGAAGTTTCATTTAATAATCTATAGGTGGAGGGAAGTACTTACTCTTGGTGATGGAGTTATGAAGACTCAGGGCTCGTGAATTTCGCTCGGCTCGGTCTACACACGACAACCGGGAAGATGAGAGAGAGGAGTTGCTGGCTGAAGCCCTGTCGTCACCAAACTCAGCCCCCATGAACTGAAGACAAGATAAAGACAGAGATAAAGGGGAAACGACACTGTCAGCAAGGAGCTGGCGTGTTGTGGGGGTGGAAACCGCTCAGATGTCATGTCGTCTCAGTCTGTCACCTGTTCGTCCTCCAGGGGAACCTTGGGTTTGACGGCCAGGATCAGATCAGGCGTGTTGTCTCTCAGCTCGCCGAGGTTTTCATTGATGTGATGTTCCGGCTTGAGCCCCGCGTTGTCGTACACGTGCCTATCCGCCAAGGAGGAAAGGGAGAGATGTGGTAAAACACAAAGGAAATCTGTGGCTTTTTTTTTCTTTTTTTTAATCCAAAGGTCAAAACAGAAACATGCACCGAGAAAAGTAATCTCCAGTATGGCTCAGATTCTGGATTGATTGACATTTGAATTTCTGCACTCAGAAAATGATCTTTCAAAAATATCATATCTGATGCAGCTCAGTCAAATGACTCAGTTGTACTTTGATGAAAAGTCAAATTCATTTAAGCTGCAAAAGTTTAATATTATCCTCATGAATATTCCCTTTATGCACAATGTTCTCTTCAAGCTGATGTGACTTGTTGGTGTGAAACCAACCAGTGTGTTGAAAATATTTCACAGGCAGATATATAATGTATATGCAGCGCAGGTTATTACTTTCTTGTGACCATGATTAAATTAGAGAATTATGCTAAATTCCCCTCAGTGCAGGTATAATGGAAACAAAGGGAAATAATGTGCTTTCTTGTGAGAAGGAGTTAGAGAGGGTTGTCCACTAAAAACCAGAAGGTCAGTGGTTCGATCCCAGCCTCCTTAATTCTGCATCCTAAAGTTTCCTTGGGCAAGACGGATGGTGTTTGATAGAAAAAGTGCTGCATATAGAAGTGCTGTATGAATGAATGGGTAAATATGAATTGTAATGTAAAGCACTTTGTGTGAGCAATAAAACTGGAAAAGCTCAATGTAAATAAATACAGTCCTTTCACTATGTCATTATTGCCCAACAAAACATACAAAC